CCTAACATCTGTACCTAGATACTTCATCTTTCTTGGCATTACAGTGGGTAAACTCTTCAAGCTCTTAAGGTCACACCCTCCTCTTGTACAAGAGGGGATCCCCACTCCAAAACAAAACAAACACCAGAATTATCTTCCGGAGGGCAGGACCCTTTTAGTACAGGCTTCCCCTGCAAGGTGAATGTTCTAGGAACCCATATGTATCAGTGTACTAGCTGGTGGTGGTGTGAGAGGCTGTGTTTGGCTTCAGTGAATTTTTTTGAAGACTCTCTCAAAACATTTGCCAATTTCATGATGGGTGATTTACAAGCACACCAGCCCACACTGCATGGAGGGTTCAGCAGTTTTTGACCAAAAATGGCATGACTCCCATGCCCCACCCTATTTACCTGATCTTACACCAAGTAACTTTTTGTTACCCTGATATAAAAAGTCATTAAAGGGAGATGTTTTGCCGATGTGGAAGAGGTGAAACAAAAAAAGCAGAATCACTAAAAGGCATCAAAATCACTGAATTCAGAAACTGTTTTGAGCAGAGGAAAAAAATGTCTCGATAGGTGTACTGCATCAACTGGAGAATACTTTGAAGGTGACTTAAGTTGAAACTTCAAACTTCATGTAATAATAAATATACACTGTTTCAATAAATAAATTGTTTCTTTTTGCACACCCCTACCCTACCCCAGTATACTGGATCCCATCCCTGGAGAAATTTGCTCCCACTACTGTTCCTTCTCCTATCTACAGAACATGCAATTTCACACACAAACACATTGTGACACTGCCCATCTTAAAAATATTATCAAAAACCTTGACCTCCCATTCCCTCAAGTCACCAGATGTTTCAAAAGAATGAGTCCTTATCTGCACTTTCTCACCGCCCTTCACTCTTGAACCCTCTCACTTGTCCTTACAGCTCCATTGAACCAAGGGCTCCTGTTAGCAAAGCCAATGGTCACTTCCTAGTTCTCCTATCGCTCTGCCTCACAGCAGCATCTGACAGATCAGCAACAGTTACTCCTTAAAAAAACAAACAAATCTTTCTTCCTTTGATTTGCAGGACACTTCACTCACCTGGTTTTCCTCCTACTGCCTCTTTTGTTCGCCAAAGCTGCCTTAACCCCTAAATGACCCCTCTATATCAGAGCATTAAATATGACCCATGCATTTTTCATTCCTAAATGAGAATCTCTGGTGTCTACCTCTCTCTTGGTCCCCAGCATTGCAGCTTCATATTCCTTTGCAATTATCTCCAGTTGGAAGTCTAATAGGAATCATACACTTTGGCATGAGGTCTGGCCAGAAAGTATCCAGCCACACGCTACCAAAGAAACATTAAGAATGTCCTGTACATAATGACGCCTCAGGCCCCTTGAAAATAGACACCTTGCGACTTCAGACTTCTCCTAGCATCTCTTCCACTGTTCAAAGCACTGCAAAATCCTTTGTTGGAATCGCCATCAGCTACCCCATCATATTTTCCTGAATCTCATCAACAGCCTGAAATCTCTTTCCTTTCAAAGGTGATTTTAGTTTTGGGAAAAGCCAGAAGTCACAGGATGCCAAATCTGGGCTGTAGAGGAGCTGATCACCTGGGTGATTTGATGTTTTGCAAAAAAACTGCATGAGACCTGATGTGTGAAAAGACATGTTGTCATGATGAATTGAAGCTGCCAATTATCAGTTGCCCATAGCTGCAGCCTTCTGAATCATCCGAAGTTTCCTTGGAGGAATGTTCAAGGTTAACACAAAGTATGATGCAGATTTCATCGCTCTACTTACTCAGTCATTTTGAATGTGATGGCCACAGTACACATGCCCACTCAATGGCATCTACTGCCCCTACTAACTAGTATAGAGAAGTCGTCATTGTTCACGCACGTGCATTCCAGTCCACTTCTCTTGACTGTCAGGTTAGACCGGTGTTGCAGAATCTGTTCTCGTTATATTTTATCAATAAAGATAATCCCCATAGGGCAATTAATAACAAAGCATCACAAAGCACCTCAACACCTAAAGATTGGTGACACAATGGTAATCCACACAATGTTGTCAAAACCTGTGATGGAGGGCTCTCCGCCAGATGGAGGCATAGGTAGATACACTGTTCCTTCTCACACAACTGAAAGGACAACAAATTAAAAAACAAAACCAACCAGAGCTGACAGAAAATTGAACTGTATGTAAGACAACCAAGGAGTTAAAGAAGAAACATTCATCCAGACCGGTAGGAGGGTCGCAGACGGGCAGTCGGGCAGACAGGACTCACTGTAAGGCAGTGGCTGGAGGACTGGGGTGGACTAGGCAGCGGCTGGTGGTCCCATATAGGTATGCAGATAAACTGTGAGGAACAACTGGGGAGCAAAACAGACCTCGAAACCCAGGGCTCCAGTGTGGGAAAATAATGCTTCAAAACCTGACTGAAAAAACCTGTGGAGGTTGAGGCAGCAGGAAAAATTTTCAGCCTCACAGGAGACTTTGTTGGAGAGACCCACAGGGTCCCAGAACATACACAAAACCACCCACCCGGGAATCAGCACCAGAAGGGCCCAATTTGCTTGTACGTAGCAGAGGAAATGACTGAAAGCCGCCAGAGAACTGAACAAGCAGCATTGTTCCCTCTCAGACCCCTCCCCCACATGTAGCGTCACAAAGCAGCAACCTGGGTTGCCCCACCCTGGCTAATACCTAAGGCTCCACCCCTTACTACGTAACAGGTGCGCCAAGACGAAAAAATGGCCCAAATGAAAGTACAGATCAAAGCTCACAAAAAAATACAACTAAGTGATGAAGTGACAGCCAACCTATCAGATGCACAGTTTGAAACACTGGTAATCAGGATGCTCACAGAAATGGTTGAGTATGATCACAATATAGAGGAAAAAGTGAAGCCTATGAAAAGTAAAATAAATAAAATGTACAGGGAACCAACAGTAATGGGAAGGAAACCAGGACTCAAATCAACAGTGGTTTCAACCAGACGGAAGAAAGAAACATTCAACCAGAACACAATGAGAAATAAGAATTTGAAAAAATGGAGAGAGGCTTAGGAACCTCCAGGACAACTTTAAACATTTCAACATCCAAATCATAGGGGTGCCAGAAAGAGAAGGGGAAGAGCAAGAAATTGAAAACACAGTAAGAACTTCCCCAATCTGGCAAAGGAAATAAACTTCCAGGAAGTCCAGGAAGCTCAGAATCCCAAACAAGTTGGGCGTAGTAAGCACAAACCAATGCTCATCCTAAATACATCACCCAAGATTAAAGATAAAGAGGGAATCTTAAAAGCAGCAAGAGAAAAGAAGAGTTCCCTACAAAGGAGTGTCCATAAGACTATTAGCTGATTCCTCAAAAGAAATCTTACAGGCAGGAAAGGGCTGGAAAGAAGTATTCCAAGTCATGAAAGGCAAGGACCTACATCCCAGATTGCTCTATCCAGCAAAGCTTTCATTTAGAATGGAAAGGCAGATAAAGTGCTCTCCAGATAAGGTCAAGTTAAAGGAGTTCATCATCGCCAAGCCCTTAATATATGAAATGTTAAAGGGACTTACCTAAGAAAAAAGATAAAAAATAGAACAGTAAAATGACAACAAACTCACAACTATAAACAACTGAACCTAAAAAAAAAAAAACAAAAAAGAACTAAGCAAACAACTATAACAGGAACAGAACCACAGAAATCCAGACTACATGGAGCATCATCAGTGGGGAGGGGAAGTGGGGAGAATGGGGGAAAAGATACAGGGAGTCAGAAGCATAAATGGTAGGTACAAAATAGACAGGGGGAGGTTAAGAAGAGTATGGGAAATGAGGTCAAAGAACATGTATGACCCATGGACATGAACTAAGTGGGTCAGATGTGGGTGGGAGGGGGTGTGCAGGGTGGAAAGGAACAAAGGGGGGAAATGTGACAGCTGTAATAGCATAATCAATAAAATATAATTTTTTTAACTGATGGAAAAAAGGTTCCCTAAACATTAAGTAAAAACAAATCATACAAATAGGCACAGTAGAATCCCACTTTTACTTCTTACCATCCATATACATAAAATATGAAAATGTTTGCAGTAGTTATTACCACTGTGATAACAGATGAAAATGGATGGTCTAAAATCTTGGTGTTTCTTTGTATTTTCACTTCTTCCTTATAATAAACATGTATTACTTTTGTAATAAAAAAAAGGGGGGGCGAGATTTGGTAGTAACTTAGACAAATAAATGATAAAGGACTGAATCCCTGTTAAAGCATTCTACCCCAAGACTGCCACCCTTAAACCTTAGTAACTACTGCTATCAAGTCACTACAGCAGGGATGCCGCTGGGCATCCAAACTTTAAATGAAGCTTGAGAGAAAAAGCCTGTATTGGCAAGTTCAGCACTCTCAACTGCTGTAGTAACCATGCTTTGCAATCCCAGCTCTATCACTTTGTGTGTTAACTATGATACAAGTATCTTGCTCAATGGAATGTTAAGGTTTAAATGAATTAATGTTTCATAAATAACACTTAACACATAACAAGGTTTGTAAGCACTGGTTATTATTTTCTCCCAAATAATATTCTGCCCCCACTTTGGTTACAGAAATAAACACTTGGGGAGAAAAATGATATTTATGATAATGTAAACTCTTGCCCATCAATGCAAAAATGGATTACTTCTCCTGTTACAAGTCATTTATTGATCACTACCATTAGTTAAATTTCTAGTAACACGGTTTCCTGACACCCTCTATACGGAAAGTAAAAGGTGACTGGCTCTATGGGAGTTTACATTCCACTCTACCCCAGTACCATTAGCAAGAACAGTCACACAGCTATATGTCATATGCAGTGACTTTATATAAACTAGTTTTTTTCCTGAACCAATGTAACAAAATTTAAAATGTGGAAATTTAATGTACCAAAACTATACACTGTCAGATACTCAGATACCACTTTTCCCTTTTTGACATTTTGAAATCGTCCTTGTCCTAAAAATACAAAATGAAGCCAACAGAGAGAACAGATTCCTGGTCATTTTAATTTTAAAACATATTACATATTTTAGGGGCATAACCAGAGGTAAAACCTTCAGCAGCTTATATTTTGTTCAATGACAAGGCCAGTGTACAAACACTACCCAAAAATATAGTTAAGTTTTTTTAAAGACAATAATAAATATTAAACTAAAAAGAGTTAATAAACATTCAACAACTCTCAAACAGGTAGTCATCAAAATATGGTAAGTCTAATGTGTCATTTGGTAAAGAATTTAATGTTGGAGTGGAAAAAAACTCATCAAAAATATCAGTCTTCAGGGAACTTTCCAAGTTCAATGTTCTAACGCAGGCATTATTTGTTAGCGAGTCTGGCTGAACGTGGCAATTTTTCTTAGTGGGGCTGCAATAATTATGGTCCTGTCTCAGGTGTGTGTTTTGGGAAATACCATTTAATTCACTAGGTACTGGTGCTGGGTTAGGGTTACCTCCCATTTCTAAGTATCTAAAGTCAGCCTCCCCATTTTCTGAGAGCTCTGCTGAAACACTTGCAGGAGACAATAATTCTGCTAAAATTTCTTCATGAGTTTGACCACTGTGTGGAAAAACATTGGGCATGGTGGTTCCTCCAGATTTATTATCAGCAATATCAATTTGATATTGTAGTTCTTTTAACAAGTCTTCTACTGATTGACTGTCATTTGGAGACCCACAATGGGACATGTGTTCTAAATTTTCACTTGGTAACTTTCCATTTGGGGGGGAAGACATAAGAGCAGCTAATTTCTTCTTTTTTGCCTTAAGTTTTTTAAGAAGTTTCAGACGAAGTTTATGAATCTGACCCTCAACAGAGTCTTCATGGTTTGATGAAATACCATTCTCACTTCCATGAGACCTGTGGTTGAGTTGAGTTTCGTATGAGGCTTTTTCATGTTTCTTCGAAACTTCCAGGTCAGCATTAACATTCGCGTGTGGAGAAGCCGTGCTACCTGAAGATGGCAGACTCAGTGGAAGGTGACTGGCCGTAGGAGACTTACTGGCACCCCTACGAACTTTCTTAGATGACCCATGAGCCTTCTGGTTCATACCTTTAGTTTTAAAGCCACCAAAATTACTTGCCCCCTTAACTGAAGGCTGTAAATCAGTTACAGTGTTTCTACTAAGAGCTGAAACACAAGGTGGCATAAAAGAAGCACCCTTGCTTAATAAGCCTTTAACCCAACTCCCCACAAACGGTTTCTTCGGATTTTCTTTCAGAGATTGATTCTGTGATGACTCAGCTGCTACAGTTTGAGAAAATTTTCTCTTTAAATTAGATTCCTGAGGTGTAATGTGTTCTTCTGATTTTAATTTCTCAGTTTTTGGTGAAAGAAATTGTTTTAATGGAACATCCTCCTCTAGGGCAACTGTACCCTCAATTTCTACTGACTTTAGTTCTTGTAGAGGACCAGCAGCATGAACATTAGTCACAGGTTTAGTAATTACAGTATTTTCTGAATTTGGCTGTACTGACTGCATGTTTGTATTCATAATCCGAGATGGAAAGCTGAAGCCCACAAGATGGTCTTGATTAAGCTTTTCCTTATTACATGGAGCTGATACTAAAGCAGCCATTAGCGTCTCCTGTGATTGTAAAGTATTTGTTTTGATGATCACTCCATTTTCTGCCACAGGTATACTTTCTAACACAAAACCTTCAGAGTTAACCTGTATTTTTTCAAGCATCAAAGGTAAAATATCACCGTCAACCAAACCTTTCAGACCTGAAAGTATATGAGGTCCATTAGCTACACCTTCAACCTGGGAAGGAGTATTAGGAGCAACTGATGTATTTTGGAGGTGTGTTCCTGAGGGTGTTTCAGCTGAGGCAGCATCACCCACAAAACACAATAGTGGAGGTTCCTGTTTCTCATCACTGGAAGCATGTTGATCATTAGTCTTTTGAAATGGAAGACAGTCAGGTGCTTTATCTGTCATTTGGGTTGTTCTTCTTTCCCAAATAACAATATGCATTTCTGAAGCAGGGACTTCAAATTTCTCATGTCTTTCAGAACATGGACCTTTTAAATCATCACATTCCAGCCAACTTCCTGGAGAAAGAGGGAAGAAGTGAAAGAGGTCAGACATTCAAAACCACCACTTTTAACCACTGTATCACTGAATACCCACTGACAGAATACTCAAAAACATGGCCACAACCTCATGTCACCATTTTTCTCTGCCAAGAGTTAAAGTCCTTATTTGGATAACAAAAGTTATGGAACATCCAGAAATTTGAAAGAGTTTTTACTCTTTCTTAAAATACAAAAATCAAGACAAATTATTTAACTTTTGGGACTCAGAATTACAGCATTACCTAATTTATCCAACAACATCAGAAAATCGCTTTTTCCCATATATATGAACTATCAAGATAAATGAAGCTGTTAACTCAAGTACTAACATGTTTCAATTTTTCTTATTTTCTTTTGGTTAAAAAAAATTAGGTATTTAGGTGTCTACTTTTTATTTATAAGCCTCAGTTTTCTCATTTGTAAAGTAGGAATGGGATGATGGATGACAGGGGAAGAGGTCAACCCCCTTTACAAACTCACACACACCAGACAAAACCATTCACTAAGTTTATGTGGATATACCCTTATAAACTACCTGAACCCACTACTTTTTATTCTACACCCATTAAGACTTTGAGAACCTCTTCTTTGTCTGGGTCAGTGCTTACCCACCACAGGTGCACATCAGAATCACCTGATTAATATTTAGGCCCCCCCAGAGACAGACAATTGGTCTAGGGGAGAATAAGGTCATTTTAAATAAGCTAACCATGATTTTTATATGCTGTCAAGGATGGAAACCATTTAACCTCTTCTACCTAAAGAAGATACTTCATTCCCTGGAATGCAATAAAAATTAAAATAAGTTGTTTTTTTAGTTTTTGTTTGTTACTGAGAACCACTTCCCCCCAATGCAAGTTTCAGTTTGCAAAGTACTTAGTGTTGTCCATCCAAAATCATCCCCAGGAGAAAAATACCAAATATAAACAGTGTCCAAACAATAAAAAAATAGAAAAATAAAAAATATCAACAGCCTGATATATACTACTTTAAGGCAGGGTCCTCAACTTTGGGGCTGTGTACTGGTACCAGACTGGGCCTGTTAGGAACCGGGATGCACAGCAGGAGATGAGCTAGAATGTAATGCACTTGAATCATTCCCAAACCATCCCCCCCACCCCCCTGCCCTAGTGCGTAGAAAAATTGTCTTCCACAAAACTGGTCTTTTGGTGCCAAAGATAAGGGACTGAGTTATCTTGTGTAAGATAAAGTGAACATTGTGAGGAAAACAAACTAAGGTGTAAATTACATTAGATAAATAGAAGGAATAAATTAGCAAAATCCATGAGCTGTACTAATTATCTTTCTACTGAAAAGCCTAATTATTTAAATAAAGGCTTTACCTTTAATGTAGCTGTTAAGCAAACCATTTCATAGTGAGAGAAGGCTGCAGTTTGTAATGACGAATAGTTTCAGAAATAGGTGTTTACTTTTATTTATATTACTAACAACTGCAAAGTACGTAAAACTTGTTATTTTTGTTCTTTCTCAGTTAAAAACCCTCAGTACCATGCATTTTCTTTGCAAGTACGATTAATGTACCTAAAAAAAATCAAAATTACCACCATTTTTTATACTGAACATACATTACTCATATAATACAAAAACAAAAATATTAACTGAAAAATGGCAAGCTATAAACCACCAGTAGTATATGATATCATTGTTTGTCTAAAAAAATTAAAGGCCAGGGCAAGAAGAGGGCAAAAATAGTTAAGTCAAAGTCTGTTTTTTTAAAAAAAATTTTTAAAAAATAGAGTTAAGTCTCTATGCCTATTATCATAAAAGAAAAATGTTTTAACACTTACCATCAGCATCTAAAATCCATGTTATGAAATGATTATTTGCGTGGTATTGAATTACAGAAGTTATTTGGTAAAGACAGCCTTCAAACTGAAATGAGTAGTATTGCAAGTTGTTATGTGGTAACCCTTCTACAAAATGCAACATGAATACGGAAGACACTCTGCAGGAAAGAAAGGTAAGAGAGGTCAAACAAATTTAATACCGTGGGCCTGGTAATATGAAAAAAGGTCAGGAGTGAATTAAGCCCTATAGAGCTTTCCAGGCTAATTGCATTAATTGTTGCGCGCCTCCAGGTGTATGCCTTAACTAGAGATGGAGAGCTCACTCTAAGACATGGGTAAAGTTCAAATCCTTCTCAGAACCGGATCACTAACAGTTGGAAGCCATGGTGCAATAAACTCTAACGCAGACCATTAAACAAAAATTGCTCTGTAAGCCGTGGTGCTGCTTCAGCTTAAAGAAGATCTCTTGGTAACTACTTTGTAGAACCGAAGGAAAAATCCAGGCCTGTAACAATTTTCATTGGCATCAAGTGGTCAAATGAATCACTTTTGTTAGCAAGGAGAGATAATGTGTGTAACAAAGTAACAAGCCTAAGATATTCAAATAAACATTAAAAAAACCCCAACATGCTAACAATTTGGCCTTTTTTCTCTCCAGTTATCTCAGGAAGTAGAGAGGTCCATCAAATCAAAATTTCTCTTTAGGAAAAGTTTATTTTGTAACCAAGTAGAGCAGAAAATACAACATACTGGTTAATTTACTATGAACTTCAAGATATACATGACAAATCAGAAAACAGAACTCAAGGATAAGCCTCAAATAACTAAATTTAACAAAGCTCTCAGGATTTAAAGAAAAAGCTCACTATCTCTATTCACAATATTTACACGACTGTCAAAACTTAGCTTATGAAAGTTTTTCAATTGAAAATAAACTTGAATCAATGGCTAAAAGGCTGGTTATTCATACCAACAAGGACAATTTGTAAATTATCCATTGTCAATCATTGTTAGAGAATAATTCAGTTCCCAAAATTTAAGTAGCTATAAAGTCTTGCAAAATTATCCATAACACTCAACTCCCATTGGTTTTTTCATCCCTATTTCATCAATCTTAAGATGCCCCTGATTGAAAAATGTGTAACCATGAAATAATACTGTCAACTAAACTATACCATACCAGCAATTTTTAGATATATTCCCATTTCAAATATGTTAAAATATAAAGAGTACATCTTTGAATCAACCATTCACAGTAAAACTGGACATATATATTCTCAGAGCTGGAAAGGCAGGCAGGCAGGCCGTGGGCACCTGCCTGACTTTTTAAGTACTAATATTTAGTTCTTTCTTGGTTTCATGATACCTTTTTCAAGATACCTTCTGAGGCTAATTACTGTAACATTGTCTTGTTGTTCCTAGACTATGCAATTTCAGTGGTGTGATTTTACATATGGAAAATGTTAAATAGGCAGCATTTTTCTTAGTCGTTTATTTAAAAAAAAACAGTACAACTTATAAATGATGGCATCTTGGAGTCAATAAAATAAAGCATATGCCCCCTCCTTTTCTAGTTTATTTTCCTTGTGGGTCCACTAGACTCTAATGTCCCCTAAAGTCATAGCATTCTTCTAACAATCATTTCAGGTTGTCTCATTTCCAGCCTCTGAAATGAGGGGAGAAGTTTACCCGTAGCCAGCAACATATTTTGTTCTCAGGTTCCTTCCTATCCTCAAAGCCTAGACTGGAGTGTCAAAGTTGATGCTTCGAGTTAAGGAAGCAAGTCAGGTTATGAATCAACCACAAGAAAACTGGATGGGGAGGGTTAACTGAACTGGAACCAGGGGATTTGAAGTTAAGATCCATTTGCATTCACCTCCCTAACATGAGGTTCAACTCCTCCTATTAGAAGTATCTACACTCAGGAAGAGAAGAGAAAACAGAAAAGAAAGGAAACAGTCTGTGCTACCTCCCCTGCTACCAAAGACAGCAGAGGACATGGAGTCTCTGACCCACACACAGAAGCCATGGTCTTGTGCTTAAGGACTTGGGAGTACAAGTTTTTAACTTTCATCCCACCTAATGTAACATAATCACTGATGAAAGGACAAAAGTCAGCACCATTTGCCTAGCAGGCCTATGACCCTGTTAATCATGACTGCCTTTTTACTCTTCTGAGCTTGTCCCCAGGACTGGAAATTACTGGAAGCAAAAACAGAACTAACCACTCCCTATAGCCACAGGCAGAAGATAACATTGTGTTACAACACCCCAACAGCCCAGGGGCCACAGAACAGTAAAACCCCCAGCCCTTTCTTAATCCAATTATGATCCAACAAAAGCTCAAAGCCCCCACCCCTCAATGCTGATGTATCTCTCCACACCATGCCCCTCTTCTTTCTTGGAGAGTGAATAAAAACTTTATTCTCTATACTTTCTTCTGTTTGTGAATTTCATAGCCTGTGTCACTGACCACCTTAACAATTGATATTTTAGAAAATGCAAATTTGACAATGTGCATGCTACTTCTGAACTATAATAACACAGGCTTTAGGCAGGAAAGTTTGCAAATGTAATTTTAAAATTCCATTACATTTTATTTTTTTGAAGATTTATTTATTTTTAGAGAGAGGGGGAGAGAAGGAAAAGAGAGGGAGAGAAACATTGATGTGTGAGAGAAACATCAATCTGTGCCTCTCACTTGCCTGCTACAACTGGGGACCTAGCCCACGGCCCAGGTGTGTGCCCTGACTGGGTTTCCATGGGAGCCCTTTTGGTTTGCAGGCCAGCATTCAATCCACTGAGTCACACCTGTCAAGGCAAACCTCATTACATTTTAGATCTATTATATCACTGAACGATTTAGACTAACAAAAATATGAGTGAAATCAGATGTAATTCAAATAATTAAATTGGTTCATGTTAATTGTCAAGAAAATACATCTTTAGAAAAAGTTAGCCCTGGCTGGCGTAGCTCAGTGGATTGAGCTCGGGCTATGAACCAAAGTGTCGCAGGTTCGATTCCCAGTCAGGGCACATGCCTGGGTTGCAGGCCATGACCCCCAGCAATCGCACAATGATATTTCTCTCTTTCTCCCTCCATTCCCTCTCTAAAAATAAATAAATAAAAATCTTTAAAAAAAAAGAAAAGAAAAAGTCAACTGTTCAACAAAAGTTTTAAAAGCATTCTTTGGAGGTAGTTCAAGGATCTCATATTAATAATAAAGCAAATTACTACCAAGATGGAGGCAAAGGTAGATACACTGTGTCTCCTCGTACAACCAAAAGGACAACCAATTTAAAAACAAAAAACAACCAGAAGTAAAAGACAGAAAATTGTACTTGAACAACAATTAAAAAAACAAACAATAACAACAAAACCACCAGAACTGCCAGAAAATCGAACTGTATGGAAGTCTGACAACCAAGGAGTTAAGGAAGAAATATTCATCCAAACTGGTCAGAGGGGCGGAGAAGGGCAGCCAGGGCAGTCCCACATTCATGTGTGGATAAAGTGGGAGGAACAACTGGGGAGTGAGACAGAATGCAACCCAGGGTACCAGCCCAGGGAAAATAAAGCCTCAAAACCTCTGGCTATAAAACCTGTGGGGGGTTGCAGCGGTGGAAGAAACTCCCAGTCTCACAGGAGAGTTCGTTGGAGAGACCCTTAGGGTCCCAGTACATATACAAATCCACTCACCCAGGAATCAGCACCAGAAGGGCCTGATTTGCTTGTGGGTAGCAGAGGAAGTGACTGAAAGCCAGCAGAGAATTGAACAAGCAGCACTGTTTCCTCTTAGTCCCCTCCCCCACATGCAGCACCACAAAGCAGAGCGGGCTGCCCCACCCTGGCAAATACCTAAGGCTCCATACCTTACTCAATCATAACAGGCACACCGAGACAAAAACAACAACAACAACAAAAAACCCTAAATGAAAGAACAGATCAAAGCTCCAGAAAAAAAAGCGATGAAGTGACAACCAACCTATCAGACGCACAGTTCGAAACACTGGTAATCAGGATGCTCACAGAAATGGTTGAGTATGGTCGCAAATTAGAGGTAAAAAATGAAGGCTATGAAAAGTGAAATAAAGGAAAATGTACAGGGAACCAATCGTGACGGGATAGAAACCGGGACTCAAATCAACGATTTCAACCAGAAGGAAGAAAGACGCATTCAATCAGAACACAATGAAGAAACAAGAATTCAAAAAAATGAGGAGAAGCTTAAGAACCTCCAGAACATCTTTAAACATTCCAACATCCAAATCATAGGGGTGCCAGAAAGAAAAGAGGAAGAGCAAGAAACTGAAAACTTATTTGAAAACATAACGAAGGAGAACTTCCCCAATCTGGCAAAGGAAATAAACTTCCAGGAAGCTCAGAGTCTCAAACAAGTCCAAGGAAGCACACACTTGGCACATCATAGTTAAATTACCCAAGATTAAAGATTAAGGAGAGAATCTTAAAAGCAGCAAAAGAAAAGGGGAGAGTTACCTACAAAGGAGTTCCCATTAGGCTATCAGCTGATTTCTCTAAAGAACCCTTGCAGGCAAGAAGGGGCTGGAAAGAAGTATTGCCAAGTCATGAAAGGCAAGGACCTACATTCAAGATCCCTCTATCCAGCAAAGCTATCATTTAGAATGGAAGGGCAGATAAAGTGCTTCCCAGATAAAGTCAAGTTAAAGGAGCCATCACCAAACCCTCATTATATGAAATGTTAAAGGGACTTATCTAAGAAAAAGAAGATAAAAATTATGAACAGTAAAATGACAACAAACTCACAACTATCAACAACTGAACCTAAAAAACAAAAGCAAAAATGAACTAAGCAAACAACTAGAATAGGAACAGAATTACAGAAATGCAGATCACATGGAGGGTTATCAGTGGTAGAGGAAGAAGGAGAATGGCGGGAAAAGGTACAGGGAATAAGCAGTATACATGGTGGGTACAAAATAGACAGGGGGAGGTTAAGAATAGTATGGGAAATGGAGAGGACAAAGAAGTTATATGTATGACCCATGGACATGAACTAATGGAGTTGGGGAATGCGGGTGGGAGAGGATTGCAGAGCAGAGTGGAATAAAGCGGGGGGCGGGGGGAAATGGGGCAACTGTAATAACAATCAATAAAACATACTAAATTTTTTAAAGTTCTAGGAAAAAATAGTAATAAAGCATTTCTACTAAACAATGAAAATTTAAATTAAGAAATGTAATTTAACCCTGGCTAGTGTGGCTCAGTTGGTTGGAACATTATCCTGTAGACCAAAAGGTTGTGGGTTTGATTCCTGGTCAGGACACATACCCAGATTGCAGTTTGATCCCCAGTTGGGGCACATACGAGAAGGAAACCAATCAATGATCTTCTCTCCCTTCCTCCTCTCTAAAAGCAATGAAAAATCTCCTTGTGTGAGGATTTAAAAAAAACAAAACACCCTAATATTAACTACTCAGCAAATCAGTAGGGTAAAGGATAGTTTATCTGCTTAGAAGTCTCGAAATCATTGTATTAGACACTTTAATAAGCTCTATAAGCATAGAACAGAAATGTCTTATTTCTCTTCCTACCATTCCATCTTTTGCAAATAGTTAAAAAAAAAAATCAGTGCGCAACTCAAGTTTAAGTAAATATGCTTTCCAAATGACAATCCAGGATAGTGTATAACCAGACTCCTAATGAAGATCATGACAAATAAAATAAAAAAAGAAGATGGTGGCAATAATGAGAATGAGACAGTCATTTCAAGAGTTAGTGAAGTAAAATTAAATCAGATTCTAAGTTGGTGCTCCATGTCACCACCATGTTCTTCTGAATGATTCAATTCCCAAACAAGTTACTTAAAGTAGCAAATTTGGATCCAATAAATATTATTCACCTGATTTACCAATGGACTCTCTTTTCAATGGGAACATATTAGAGATATGGATTACCTGAGACAAGGTGTTCAAGGAAGCTGTAACACTATTAGTTTTTAGAATGCTGTAAGACTGAATTATGCATGATATCATGATAGACCTAATTACTTTTAATTTATCCTAAAAACTGTATTTTGTTTCTAAATCCCATTAAATACCAAAAGCAAGTTATACAAATTTCAAAGTAAAAAATTATGAATGTCTTTACAAAGACCTCGTCATTTAAATTTTACACACTAGTTCAATTTATTTTTGAATAAACATCCAAATTAAAAATTCTGCTTATAAACTGACTTATTAAAACTCTAAACACATTTCCCCCGAAACAGTTACACCCAGCATATACATTTTCATATCAGAGCATGAATCTGTAAGTAAAGCAACATGTTTGTATAATTAAAAACTATACGTTGCAATGCAACCAAGTAACAGATCAAACAAAACTATAGTATGAGTTTATCTTCAATGTTGGGGCTTGAGAAAAAGCAAGTATAAACTCTTAGATGAAATTATATAGCAAATATAAACTCTTACATGAAAATTATATATACCAGAAGCCTCAAGCAATTCAATGATCCAGTGCAGGAGGCACACACCCACACCTGCTGCCCTTCTACCTCCTCATCAAGGAAAGGACTTTAAAAAAAAAAAAGGCCCCTCCTTTGACACTTAGATCTCAAAGCTTTGACCGCAGGCAACCAAGACACTATGGACTTCTAGTTAAACAAATCTCCTCTTTTTTCCTACTCTGCCTTCCCATGTGAATTCTATCATATGTTAGTGAAGGACCAAAAACAAACAAACAAACAAAAAAAGACAATAAATATTTAGAAGACAAAAAGCAAACAGAATAGTGGTAACACAACAGGATGGTTGAAGTGATGACGTGAGTGTGAGAGTGCAGGCATAGAAGACTCACCATCTAAGGGCAATGAATGCTGAAGAATGTGGGGGTAAAGCCCTGGGCTAAAAATTGGGACAATGACAGAAAGTGAGTATAGGGCACTCCCATGCACCAAGCCCAGAGAGGAACCATTATAGAATGAAACAGTGGAGCAGAAAAATGGAAGGTGGCAGAAGAGAGGCTTCCAGGAAGGAAAAAAATGGGGGGAAGGAGACTCAAAAGTTGCAAAACATTTGAGTGTTTAGAAAATCATTAATAGGTTTGTTGAATCTGGAAAAAAAATCACAATATGTACATAAAGCAAATAAAAATACAAGGCAATTAATAATTCCAGGAAAAGGAAAGAGTTGTAAAGAAAACAGAACCATGAACACTGCTTGGCTAAAGAGGGAATATATGCATATTCATAATAAACAATGAATACTAATTTAAGCAAAAATGCAATCATATTGGAAGGGAGGAGTTAAGAGATGGGCCCAGGTGTTTGATAAGAGTGCTTATACTCAACTACTATAAAAGGAGAAGATTGTATAAAGGTGGAACAAGCACATTGTTTTGAAATTTGAAGTAAATACTACCTAAAAGGTTTAAAGTAGATACCTGGGAATAGGGTAGGAAGGTACTGCTCTCTTCTCCTTTTTAAGTCTTGACACTATCCGTCTGGAAATTTATTGCTTTGATGAAAACTAATCTTCAGAAAAGATTCTGAGGGGTTTCTTGGCACATCCAAGGGCATCAGAAAAGGCAAGAATATCAATGGTTTTTTAGTACATCAAATTATACCTCAAAACATTTTCTTGTTGAGTTACAGATAAGGACAACAGAAAATAAAGATTAAAGAAGATGTGCACATGTGAGCGTACTAACAAAAGAGAGGCAAACCACCTAGACAGGTATTAACCTGAGAGTTTAAAGACACAGGGCTTCTGGTTCCAATGGAAAAGGTACCATAGTACTGACCAGTCTTCCAGATAGTAAGGCTAAACCTAATACAAAGACATCTGCCCAAGGCAGCAGAACTCTTATAAGAGGATGAAGAATCAGCAGGCTGAGGTCTGGCAGAAGATAGAAATTCAGCCAAGTGAGCCTGTGGCTCATCATTGAATTGTAAGTTCTTGAAATTAGATAAGAAAATCCCGGAATTTTAGTGATTTTAGTCACTTGGCAGAGAAGAAAACAATGGATGTTTAATATCCTTAAAGGGAAGAAAAGACAAAAAAATGGAAGACACTAACTAGAATGGTGGGGTCATATAATCACCCTAAGTCTGCTCTTCAGCATCATTTCGCCTACAGCACAGCTTGCTTATTGGCCAGAGTTCTCGACAAAAAAGCATTTTGGCAATTCACAAATACATGCAAACTCCTAAAAAGTAGGTTGCAGCCATCACTTTCAATACTACACATTAAAAATATATGTAAATCCACATTCATTTTGTTTTAAAATAAGTAAGGCAATCTGAACTCACCTTTTCAATACCATTTTTCTTATTTGTGACTTATTGTCACAATTGTTACATGGACCAAAATGGGCAGCATTAAGTGGATGCCATTCAGGAATGACATTTGTAAAGGTGGCCAGATTCTTCATACACCTATAAAAAAAAGACAAATTGACTTAAATTCATTCATGTTAATTTAAATCAATGTCCAAACTAGAAGGTATTTGTTTATTCATACTTAATCTACCCCCCCAAAACATGTAAGTTAATAGTCTGATGTTGTTTCCTAACCCTAGTGAAGCTCTTTATGAAGACTCTCCACATGAATTACCTATAGTTTTTCCAGCTATGAGATGAAGAAAATGCAAAAGGCAAGGTTTCAGCACCATCAACATTTTGCACTGGGTAATCCTCTGTCGTGGGGACCGCCCTAAGCACTGCAGGATGTTTGGCACCATGCCTGGCTTCTGTATACTACAAGCCAGCAACAGCCCCAAGGACCTGCAGACACTGCTGAATGTCCCATCCACAGGGCACAAAGTCATTCCTAGTTGAGAAATACTGTCCTAAGGCTTTCAAAATAGTAAGAGCTCAGCCCTTACTCAAAAAATTCACGATCTGGTTATCCATTATCAGCCAGAAACAAAAGAGCATTTCCAAATACATTCAACTTAATTTTCTTGATCCTTAAATAATTAGAACACTAACTATGAAAGAATTTTGTCTTCATAGTTATACAAGTTCTAAATGTACACTTTGGTTTGAACACTTGAGAGCAATAGGCATCTAAAACAATGGTCTTTAAAGATGCATACTATACACCTGCATTTGCTTTAATAAAAATTATCTTAAAAGAACAATTACTGCCTTGACTGATGTGGCTCAGGTGGTTGGGGCATTGTTCTACAAGGCGAAAGGCTGCTGGTTTGATTCCTGTTTAAGGCACATGCCTAGGTTGCAGGTTCGGTCCCCAGTCAGGGCACATACCGGAAGCAACCCATCAATGTTTCTCACATTGATGTTTCTTGTCTTCTCTTTTTCCTTCCCTTCCCCTCTTTCTAAAAATAAATAAATACAATCTTTATTTTTTTTTTAATTATTACTTAAGGGACAGTAGCATCTGTTCTACACCACAGAAAATATTGATAAACCATAAGTGATATAAGCATAGGCTATTAAAACTAATCAGCTCTCAGGGAAGCTGACAGTTTATTTTTTATTTATTTATTTTTTTAAAAGGTTTTATTTACTTTTAGAGAGAGAGGAAGGGAAAGATAAAGAGAAAGAGAAACATCAATGTGTGGTTGCCTCTTGTGCTCCCTGAACTGGGGACCTGGCCCACAACCCAGGCGTGTGCCCTGACTGGGAATCAAACCAGCGACCCTTTGGTTTGCAGGCCCACGCTCAATCCTCTGAGGTATCCCAGCCAGAGCAAAGCTGACACTTTAAAAGCAAAGCAGTATAAAAGGATTGACAAATGCATTGACTGCATTTCTCCAAAAATTCTTGGTTCTCAAGGATAACAGTTAAGTAAAAGCTTTCTCTCATTTCTTAGTTTATAAAAGGGTGTTTGTCTCAGCGAGGCAGTATTAATGCTGCATATGACACCTAACGTTTCTGTGTACCAACAACCCTACTTAGCTGGTACTATTCTTACCCGCATTGTACAGATTAGAGAAACAAAATGCAGAGTGTACACCTCATGGTAAAAGACAAACTGGCAACCGAAATACAGGGAGTGTGACTCTGTAAACCATGTTTTAACTCCAGAACATACCTTCAAAATCAAAAGCTCTAAAAATAGCAGCACAAAAACCAATCAGTTTGCTGAATATTCTTCCAGCAGATTAAGTGGGAGTAGGTTTTAACCCATGATATATTAAGATTTATGTAATAAAATGTCACTTCACTTTAGCTTTTTCTCTGTATTTACTTTCATTTTCAGAACATGGAATTAAAAAAGGGAAGAAAAGAAAAGAAAACCTAAGTGGCTAATGGCTTCTTTCCCTTGAACTCTTGAGTTTTTTTCTATATACTTCCAAATGCACTTATTACCTCATATTCAAAGTAACTTAAAGCAGCCAAAAGATGAGAATAGGTATGTATTCACTGACCCTCTGTTACATCTTTATGTGTAATCTCCCTAACAAGCTAAATATTATTTCAGTTGAATTCCTGGCACACACAATCTATTCAATGAAAAACTCAAACCAAGATGTGCATTTTAGAAGACCTAGAATTCAGTCGATTTTAATCAAGCTTGTTTATATTATGTAAAATACAGGTGGTGATTAGGGAATACACCACTGTGAACAAGAAAGTCGTAGAAGCCAGAAAACCTTAGCCTGAATTCTACCACTTACTAGCTAGGTGTCCCCTTGGACACCTATTTAACCCCTTCCAAGCTTCAGTTTCCACATTAGCCATATGGGAAGAAAATCAGATAATTTATATAAATCAATGATAGAAGACCAGGAAACAGCTATTTGTTCTCATACTCACACAAAATTATGTAAGTCCTAGGTACGTGTGAAATGCTAATTCTTATTCTGTTCTAGTCCTTTTGAGCTAACTGGTAAAAAAAAAATGTCTTCTGGTTCTATTACTGACATTCCCTAGGGCATTCTTTCACAGACTTGACTCTCAACTGATCCTGAAATACCTAAAAATAACTTCAATGTAGATAATAAATATCTAAGGAACATTTTTGTAGATACTGATTATCTAAGGAAACTCATCAAAAAAAGTAACTTTGAGCCCTGGCTGGCGTAGCTCAGTGGCTTGAGCGCGGGCTGGGAACCAAAGTGTCCCAGGTTCGATTCCCAGGCAGGGTACATTCCTGGGTTGCAGGCCATAACCCCCAGCAACCGCACATTGATGTTTGTTTCTCTCTCTCTCTCTCTCTCTCTCTCTCTCTCTCTCTCTCTCTCTCCCCCCCCACCCTCCCTTCTCTCTCTAAAAATAAATAAATAAAATCTTTTAAAAAAAAAAAGTAACTTTGAAAGACTCCAAATTTTCTAATTTACTAGGTGAGTTTAAGAAATTAGGAAAGGATTTATCTCTATTATAAAAATTTGAATACTAACAGAACAAGTTTGGTAATCTTTTCAACCACCAGAAAGCAACCTTCTCATACATTTACAAAACGAGGGTATCCTGTTGATGGCAATTTTCTTTCCCTAACACTTCTTCTAAAACCTAATCTCTCATGTCGTAGGTCCATGGAAGCAAATGATACTTGCAGTTCTTTCTTCTCTTGCTTCCTCCTAAGTGTCAATCTCAGGGCCATGCACACCAACCAAAACCCTCCAATAGGTGGCAAGGCAGTGGAAAGGATAGATGACAGTGCACATGGAGGATTCTGGGGTCGGATGGTCTTTTAGGGACTAAGGTTAGGAAAGCACATATTACTCTGAGAGCTGCTGCCAAACTCCAGGAGACCAAAATCAGTTTCCATGATGTTAAAACAGTTTCAAGGAGTTCTGAGAGGTGTTACTTATTACTTGGCAGGGAATCCAGAGGGAAGAAGAGGGAAGATTCTACTTGAAAAGCTTAAGAAAACTTTTACTGGTAATCTATCAAACCATTGGTTTTCTTCTAGTTAAAAAAAAAAACAAGCAAATTATAGTTTCTGAGGCTCAAATTCTTCCTTTTAACCTTAATGTTGGAGAGATTTCAAGATAGGGTGGGAAGTTTATCTGTGATAGAGGGAGCCACAGAGAGAGAGGTTTTAGAAGTGGAAACAAACTATTCAAATTTGATTACTTGTAAACATTTTCAATAGAATGAATCCTTTTTAAAAAATAGAAACACCAACCTGTTTTGATACTTATGTCCACACTGTGAACATTCAAAGTTCCAAGAAAAAGAGTACATGAAGAGCTTTTCGATTCGGGATTCTATTTTTAGGAGCAGGGGAAATGCAAACACCGGGCTTTCCATGTCACCTTCGAAAAGAAAAGGAAAAATGAGTTGTTCAGAACTGAAAAAGGTCAACTCAAATTATGAACTGCAGTCTTTTCTCAGTATATGAGGAAGGACCCAATAAAATGGAACTTATTTATAAAAAATTATGTATTTATTCTGACATGTTTAAACTTTAATCACCTTCAAAGTGCTCTCCATTTGATGTAATACACACATCAAGATGTTTTTTCCACTGCTCAAAACAGTTTTTGAACTCATCAATTTTGATGCCTTTTAGTACTTCTGCCACACCTCTTCCACACTGGCAAAATGTTTCCCCCTTTAAAGACTTTTTTCATCCAGGGAAATAAAAAATGTCACTTGGGCAAGATCGGGTGAATGAAGAGGGTGGGGCATGGGGGTCATGCATTTTTTGGTCAATAACTGATGAACCCTCAGCGCTGTATGGGCAGGTGTGCTTGCAAATCACCATCATGAAATGGGTAAATGTGTTGAATATTAAAAAAAAAACCCTCACACTAATACAGAAGGGTTCCTAGAACACTCACCTAGTGGGAAAAGCTCTACTACAAAGGGCCCACCCTCCAGTAGATAATTCCAGGATTTGTGGTGTCTCCCACTGTACTCACACTATGAATACATCTGAATAAGGGTATGTAACACAGCAGGTTATTCACAACCCGGCAAGGGGAAGTCTTAAAATAATTTTTCTCAAAAATGTCCATTGTGAAGATTTAATTATCACTTCAGTCTCTTTCATTTTTCTTGGTGACATGTATGATAACTTAAGACAAAAGACACACACTATTGTCTCAAATCTTTTTAACTTTTCTCAGGAAAAAAGTTATTATAGACCCTCAGAACTATAATAACACATGAGTATTATAAAAACAAAATAAATATATGTAAATTGTTTGCTACAGATACTAAAAATAATATAACTGATGAACCATGGTACAAAAATATCAAAGTTGGACAAAAGCATTAAGCAATTCTATTCTAATTCTCTTGTTCTGCATATGCTGAGAGTGAGACACACACAGGTGAAAGGACCAGCCTCACATCTCCTCACCAATCCCTCTGCTTAATCTTTTAACAATTAAAGTTAACCTCAACAACTTTAAGACTAGCAAAGATCTGAATTATGTTGTCATTAAAATAAAAACCGGCTTCTGGCCAAGATGGAGGCATAGGCACTGACAGATACACTGTGCCTCCTTGCACAACCAAATGGACCACAACAAACTAAAAAATAAAAAAACCAACCAGAGCTGACAGAAAATCAAACTGTATGTCTGACAACCATGAAGTTAATGAAGAAACATTCATCCAGACCAGTAGGAATGGTGGAGATGGGCAACCAGGTGGAGAGGGGTGGAGGCAGCAGCTGGACGACTGGGGTGGTCCCATATTTGCATGCAGATAAACTGGGAAGAACAACTGGGGAAAGAGAGAGAGCATGCAACCCAGGTTCCAGTACGGGGAAATAAAGGCTCAAAACCTCTGACTGAAAAAACCTATGGGGGTTGAGGCAGCAGGAGAAACTCCCAGCCTCACAGGAGAGTTCGTTCAGGAGACCCACAGGGTCTTAGAACGTGCTCAAAACCACCCATCCACCCAGAAATCAGCACCAGAAGGGCCCAATTTGCTTATGGGTAGCAAGGCAAGTGACTGGAAGTCCAGGAGAGCAGAACAAGCCGTACTGTTCTCTCTCTGACCCCTCTCCCACAAACAGCACCCACAACAGCAGCCATATGAGCTGCCCCGCCCTGGAAATAGCTAAGGCTCCTCCCCTTACTACATAAGAGGCACACAGAGACAAATAAATGGCCCAAATGAAAGAAGAGATCAAAGCTCCAGAAAAAATACAATTAAGCAACGAAGAGACAGTCAACCTATCAGATGCACAGTTTAAAACACTGGTAATCAGGATGCTCACAGAAATGGTTGAGTATAGTCACAAAATAGAGGAAAAAATGAAGACTATGCAAAGTGAACTAAAGGAAAATGTATAGGTAACCAACAGTGACAGGATGGAAACTGGGTCTCAAATCAACGGTTTCAACCAGAAGGAATAAACATTCAACCAGAACAGAACGAAGAAACAAGAATTAAAAAAAAAAAAAAATGAGGAGAGGCTTAGTAACCTCCGGGACAACTTTAAATGTTCTAACATCCAAATCACAGGGGTGCCAGAAAGAGAAGAGGAAGAGCAAGAAATTGAAAACTTATTTGAATACCTAATGAAGAACTTCCCCAATCTGGCAAAGGAAATAAACTTCCAGGAAGTCCAGGAAGCTCAGAGAGTCCCAAACAAGTTGGACCCAAGAAGGAACACACCAAGGCACATCATAATACATTACCCAAGATTAAAAATAAGGAGAGGCTCTTAAAAGCAGCAAAAGAAAAGGGGAGAGTTACCTACAAAGGAGTTCCCATCAGACTGTCAGCTGATTTCTGATAAGAAACCTTGCAGGCAGACTTCCAGCAAGATGGAGGCATAAGTGGATGCACCGTACCTCCACACACAACCAAGATTAGAACAACAACAATTTAGAGGCAGAATAACACCCAGAACTGACAGAAAATTTATCTGAATGCAAGTCAGACAGCCAAGAAGTTGAAGTAGACCCACCCATTCATCCAGACTGGTAGGAGGAGCGGAGACGAACAGCCAGGCGCGGGTTGCAGCACGGGTTGCTGCTCGAACAGCAGAGAGCAGTGGGCGCATAAAGCAACGAAGAGCGCATAAGGCACTGGGGCACGCAGGATCGCAGCGGGTGGACCCTGAGTATGCAAGCGGCAGCTGGCAGACCCAGTGAGGCAGCGACTGTGGACCGGGGCAGAGCACGCAACCCAGGATCCCAGGGAAGGGACAGGTCCCAGAAGAGTGGAGCTACCACCATTGCTCCTTCCCGCCCCCATCCCCACCCCCACATACAACGTCACAATCTAGCGACTGGGGTGCCCAGCCCCGGTGAACACCTAAGGCTCCGCCCCTCACTGTAACAGGAGCGACCAGACCAAAAAAAAAAAAAAAGAGAGAGACATGTCTCAAACAGAAAAACAGATCAATACCCCAGGGCTCATCCTTTTGAGCGACCAAGAGATAGCCAATCTATCAGATGCATAGTTCAAAACACTGGTGATCAGGAAACTCACAGAATTGGTTGATTTTGGGTGCAAATTACATGAAAAAATGCAGGTTACCATAAAAGAGATGAAGGAAGATGCACGGTGAACCAACAGTGATGGGAAGGAAACTGGGACTCAAAACAATAGAGTGGACCAGAAAGAAGAAAAAAACAACCAAACAGGAAAGAATGAAGAAATAAGAATTCAAAAAAAACGAGGAGAAGCTTAGGAACCTCCAGGACATCTTTAAGCCATCCAATATCCAAATTGTAGGGGTACCAGAAGAGGAAAAGCAACAGATTGAACACGTATTTGAACAAATAATAAAGGAGAACTTCCCTATTCTGGAAAAGGAAATAAACTTCCAGGAAATCCAGGAAGCTCAGAGAGCCCCAAAGAAGTTGGACCCAAGAAGGAACACACCAAGGCACATCATCATTACATTAGCCAAGGTAAAAATGAAGGAGAGAATCCTAGAAGCAGCAAGAGATAAGGAGACAGTAACCTACAAAGGAGTTCCCATCAGACTGTCAGCTGATTTCTCAAAAGAGGCCTTGCAGGCAAGAAGGGGCTGGAAAGGAGTATTCCAAGTCATGAAAGACAAGGACCTATATCCCAGATTACTCTATCCAGCAAAGCTGTCATTTAGAATGGAAGGACAGATAAAGTGCTTCTCAGATAAGGTCAGGTTAAAGGAGTCCATCATCAGCAAGCCCTTATTTTATGAAATGTTAAAGGGACTTATCTAAGAAAAGATAAAAAACATGTATAGTAAAAGGACAGCAAACTCACAATTAATAACAACCACACCTAAAGCAGAACCAAAAGAAACTAAGCAAACAACTAGAACAGGAACAGAACCACAGAAATGGAGATCACATGGAGGGTTAGCAACAGGAGAGTGGGGGAAAAGGTACAGAGACTAAGTAGCATAGATGGCAGGTTGAAAATAGACAGGGGGAGGGTAAGAATAGTATGGGAAATGTAGAAGCTAACGAACTTATAAGTATGACACATGGACATGACTAAAGCGGGGGATATGGGTGGGAGAGGGTGTACAGAGTGGAGGGGAGTGAAGGGGGGGAAATGGAACAACTGTAATAGCATAATCAATATAATATATTAAAAAAAAAAAAGAAAGAAACCGTGCAGGCAAGAAGGGGCTGGAAAGAAGTATTCCAAGTCATGAAAGGCAAGGAGCTCCATCCAAGATTGCTCTATCCAGCAAAGCTATCATTTAGAATGAAAGGCCAGATAAAGTGCTTCCCAGATAAGGTCAACTTAAAGAAGTTCATCATCAAGCCCTCATTATATGAAATGTTAAAGGGACTTATCTAAGAAAAAGAAGATAAAAAAATATGAACAGCAAAATCACAAGAAATTCACAACTAACAACAACTGAACCTAAAAACACAAAAACAAAAACAAACTAAGCAAACAACTAGAACAGTCCAGAAGCAGAGAAATGCAGATGACATGGGGGGTTATCGGGGGGAGGGGGATTGGAGAGAATGGGTGGAATGGTACAGGGAATAAGCAGCAAACATGGTAATACAAAATAGAGAGGGGGAGGTTAGTAACAGTATATGAAATAGAGAAGCCAAAGAACTTACATGTATGACCCATGGACATGAACTAAGGGGTGAGAATGCTGGTGGGGAGGGTATAGGGTGGAGGGGAATAAAGGGGGATAAAATGGGACAACTGTAATAGTATAACCAATAAAATATATTACAGAAAACAAAAATAAAAATGAAAACTGAACCATAAATAATGCATTCCAGTGTGGAGATGAGCAAGCAAGTGAAATGCAAGGATTTACACTCTCCTCTTACATTCCTTCTTCAATGGGGTTCTCTCCTTCCTTTTCTCAGGGGAATTTAGA